TGCTTTCGTAAGCTGAGCTTAAGGCACGTCTTAAGCTTAAGATATGTTGGTGCAACCGGACTAAACAATATGAGATGAATTGGGGATATTTATATTACACAAACTAAACCGCTTGGATACGAAAAATATCAGGAAATATGATACGACAGAAAAGACTAATGACTTTACAGCTAATTGCTACATAAATAGCAATGTAATGCAAATAGATGATTTTGTATATAAGACTAATAATATATTATAAATTATACCTATATAGATACAAATAGTAAAATAAAATACAACTATTATACAAAATAGTAAATACTTATTTAGTTAAACGTAAAATGTTCACTGAACGTTAACGATAAATGTTTCAAATAAAGGTTAAAACATGCTTTTCAATTCGCGGTAAAAGACTTAGTAGAGTTCAACACACAAGATAAATTCGTAACAAAATTGATATATCAGTACACGGTACCCGATACAGCAGCAAATTAATTTTAACAACAAATATGTAGGTTGTACTTTACCCCATTGGAATCATAGCATCCGCTATGGAAATTGGTATCTTCTTTGACATACAGCAACCACATGTGAAATTACGAAAGATTAATGTTAAATTAGGAAAACTCAATTAACCGTTGATCAAATATTCACTCTTTATACTTAAAATTTATAAATAATTTATTTATAAATTTTAAACAAACATTTAAATATGATATAATTATAAGATTCTGAATAAAATGTTATGGAAGAACTAGGCATACCTAAGGAAATTAACTGCCAACTTACTTTTAAATGTACAGTAGCCTCAAACAAGAAGATGCCATGTCTCCAATCGTGTTTACCATTGTTTTGGAGAGCATCGCCCGGAAACTCTAATACCGAAAATCTCACAGTTTAATATCAAGGTCCTCACATTATACGGACTTTCGACGATGAGTTTAATATAGTAGGGAGTATAATCATTATTAACAAAAAACATTAATACATTCAATAGAAAAAAGCGCAAAAAGGGTCTTCCAAATCAACGATGATAAAAAATATATGACATCATAAGAGAACTACAAAACAGAACAGGACATAATATTTCATTAGACCAGTACAACTTTGAAATGGTTCATCGTCTAAATATTTAATATTTAAGAGCACTTTGAACAAAAACACTACAGAATAGGATAACAACAGAACACAAGCTGGCAGTTCCTACGTTTTAAGCAAAAAAATTAAATCCAAAATACATCCCGCAATACAAAAATAAGAATCTACGTATGTAAGTGAAACACGGGCAATGAAAAACAAAATAAGAGCCGATTGAGCGTCGCAGAAAGAAGAATTCTTAGAGAAATATTGAATCTGTTATGAATAAGATTACAAACATTAACTTTGGCGTTGAGATTTAGTTTCTTGTACGACGTTGCAATCTTTATCTTTGACCTTGGCATTAGTTCCCGGTCGTAAAACACTTCTGGGGAATTTTTTAGCAATCCTGATCTAATTAATACCTGAGTTTTACTTGCATTGTTTTATACATTCTGATTTTAGTAGTTCATATTAGACTTCTGGATTTAAAAGTGTTATGAGAGTTATATATGAGTTATATTAGTTTGCTACCTGAATTTTTCCTTTTATCTCTTATTTGACAACGATATCGCGATATCTAAAACACTCCTATCTTTCAAAATTATACGTTACTCCTGTTACGTTACGTTACTCTTGTTACGTTATATCGTGTTTTTGTCTGTTAATGGATATTTAGTTGGTTTCCTCGTTACTGACTATTATACAGTTTTTTTTTGCTGCTAATAGCATTATTGTATAGTATACTAATATTTAATGTATATATTAAATCTGGATAGTGGATAGATATTCTTTACTTTCTCGGAGAAATTATATTCTAACTCACAAAAATCCTATTAAATTGCCAAAACCGCCCTTGCATGTTCTATTTACTTATGAGAGCCAGCAGCAATATCAGTACCATAATAATGCGTATAGTCCTGGACTGGCTAATCGTTGGATAATAGAAGCATGCATGTAGCAGTTTTCATGGTTTGATGCCTGCTTGCTGAAATCGGGGAGCAGATATATCAGAACCAGGTAATGACTATAGTAATTGTTGCTTTACCGGCAAAATATTAAATACCAAAAGGTATAACGCTAGCAGTCTCACTGCAGCCTCGATGGAGAAGGCAAAGTGAGACAACTTTATTATTATTAACCAACAGTATATTTTCTAGTAAAATCATCATGATTTTACAGCAAGACAAATTTTCCAATGTTGGTAATCAAAACATCATGTAAGTACCACCAGGTTCCCTATGTTGGTATCCAACAAAATCCTTGTAATAACGATACAGGAAACAAAACTCCAGAGATATCAAATAAATTAACCAGATATCTAATAAAATACAGATTCTTGATTCCAATAGTTAAAAAATTAACCAACAGCCTACCCAAACAGATATAACGTCCATTTAACATGTAATCCGTTAACGGTCCAAGGTACAAAGCAGCTCCTAGCATAATGCTGATGATATAGATTTGATAAGAAACTAAAACATAGACGAAGTGAAAACCAAATACAAGCAAATACACAGAAGAGACCAATTAAATAAACCTAGATAAAACAACTAGATAAAAAGTCAACAACTACAATTTCAAAAGTATAGAAGACTTTAAATATATTGGATCAATAACCACAGTTAATAATACCGCCACTGGAGGAATAAAGAGCATAATATAAACTTTAGACCTATTTTAAGACCAAAGAAGACTTAAAACTTCAGCGGCATTTTGACTGACTGTACAACATTTTTTCCAATTTGTTCGGTCTTCCATCAACATAGGGTCAAATAGAATGTTCATTTTGCGGAGATCTGCTTGGATGTTATCTCTCCATCGCATTCTGGACGTCCGAGTAGTCTTTTGTCTGTGGGAATCTCCTCCCACACCAATTTTACAAGTCTTTCGTTATGCAATCTGTGCACGTGCCCTGCCAATCTTAGTCGCTATGATTTAATTTCTTGGACTATATTGGCGTCGCTGTAGAGAGCTTTTAATTCGATATTAGTTCTGATCTTATACTGGTTTGTGGTGATGTCATGGTGAAGTTCAAAAATGTTTCAAAGTATTTTTTCGTTCAAAGCGTCTGAGCTTTTCTTCGTTTGCTTTGGTCATGGTCCACGTTTCGCATTCGTATGTTAATACAGGTCTGACGATAGATTTATAGATTTTGATCTTTGATTTTCTTGTGAGATTTTTTGATTTTATGAGCTTATCCAGTGCAAATAGACAGCAGTTTGCAGATTGGATTCTGTCTTTTATTTCTTCAGTAACATCGTTGTCAGCTGTGATTAAACGTTGTACTCTTTCGAAATTAAATTTGTTGACCGTCACATTTTGTCCTATTCTGTCTCTTCATGTCGTTCTATTTATACACATATATTATATATTTCGTCTTATCTTCATTAATCTTCAGCCCTACTTCACTTGTTGCTCCTTCCACCTTGTTGAAAATGTCTTTCGTGGATAGGATGGAGTCTCCAACGAGATCTATGTCATCTGCATATGCGAGGAACAGCTTGGGACCTTGAACCGATAGCAATTCTCTTTTTATTTCGGCCGACCTCATGGCTTTCTCTAATACAAGGTTAAAAAGTAGTGGAGATAAACACATTACCCTGTTTAAGTTCA